TGCCCTTCTCCATCCACTGCCTGCCTGCTCCCACCGGGAGTGTTTCCCTGCAGTGCTGAGGGCTCTGCCAGGGCTACTGGGTGTCCTGGGGCACGGGTGGGTCTTTTCCTTACCCCAAGCAGGGACCCAAACCTTGCCCACAGCCCCAGGCGGGTGGACGTGTGCCTGTGCCAGCGTGCCTGCCCCACGCTGCGTGTAGGAGAGGCTGAGCTCAGCCTGGAATGCTGACTTGGATGGGATTCCTGGGGCAGGAGCTGCCTGGCTCTATAATCTGTGCTGAATGCACTTGCTCCCACATGCCTATGTATAACCGGAGACATACGTACCTTCGCCTACACGTGTTCATGCACCCACCTCTGGGCACACGCAGCCTCTGGGTTCATGCCCACCGGAGCCTCCCTCCAGCTCTGTATAGTGTTGGGTGGAAGGTCCTGCATGTGCAGGACGCAGCCTGTCAGTGCCAGCCCTCCCCAGTGGGTGGGAGAGCATCCCCATGGTCCATTCTGGAGAGGTCTCCTTGTAGCTGCCCGCTCCTGGTGCCAGACCCGTCTCTCAGCCGCTCAGTGCTGAGCACCCCTCCAGCCTGTCTGTGAAACTGGGTCCCCGGCACCCAACACTGGTTATCAGCACATCCCAGTGGCTCACCAGGCACTGAGTTAAGAGGTGTTTAGACCCTTTGGAGCTCCCATTGCTTTGCAGCTCTGGTCCCAGGTCCCCCTTTTTGCCGGTGCTCCTCTAGACTTACTTAGAAGCATCTGAAAAGCAGGGCTTGCTCAGAGAACCTCTTCTCCCAGGCCCCAGCACAGGGTAAACCCACTTTCCTGGGGTTCTCCTTTCTCTGGGATGCTTCCCGCCTTCTGAAATTGTTTTCCCTTGTGGCCCTTGACCTGGGAGACCCAACCACACCTTAAATGACTCCTGTGCTAAGGGACTGGGTGACACAGGGACAGTGCTTCTCCCTGGCCCTCCTGCCACAGCTCTGGACCTTATTTGCCTCATTTGCAAGGCAAATGGCCCTGCCAGCCCCATGCCGGGTGCTGAGCACCCTGTGGAAGCACTCCCTCCATCCGCCCTTGCAGAGGGACGAGGGACTGGTTTTGTCTGTGGGATTGCTGGGGGTCTGCAGTGGGATCCTCTGTTGATATGGGATGATGTGGAGTGTCTCCAGGTGCTGGTCACAAGTGTTATCTTAAGGGCTGTACCTCAATATGTGGTTGCTGTGACATCCCTGTGACTGTGTCCCAGCTGGGCAGGGAGCTCATTGCGGGAGCACTGCTGGGGATTGGGATCTGTCATCTGAGCTTGGAATGCGCCACTGGCGTACGGTGCAGCAGAGTTTGGGGCCTCTTCCCCTGTCCCCTTCTTCCCCTGCCCCTTTCTTTCCCTCTCCCTTTCCATCTTGCTTTTTCTCTCCCTTTCTCCCTGCCTTTTCCTCTGCCTTTCCTTCTCCCATCCCTTTCCTCCTTTCGTACCTGATGTGAGCAGCAGCTTCCCCAGGACATGGCACCCACTGCAGGGAGCTGGGTGTGGATGCTGCTCAGGGACTGTCACTGGTAACTTCTGGGGGATCTGTGCTTGGGGAGAAGGAACTTTCGGGACAGGGTCTGGGATGGGGGGAACAGCCACTGATGTGGGGTGCCCTGGGGGGATCATCCAGAGAAAACAAACCCGTGGCAAGCAGGGAAAGGAGCTCAGAGACCTTGATGTGGCTCCTGCTCCAGTGTGATGGATGGGGCGATGCTGTGACCCATGGAGACGCTGCTGCCATGAGTGTCCCCATCTTATCGTGTGTCCCTGAGAAGCCAGCACCGCATGGCCGGAGCCAGAGAGGAGGAGCAATGCGGTGCTGGTGCCTGTGCTCCCCGGGATGTGCTGCCCTGTCCCTGCTATCCCAGGGGCTCAGGGAGGGGAAGGGCCAGTGGCAAACCTGCCTGCACGGCTGGTTAAGGAGAAATACTCCCTTTGGTGGCTGTAGGCGCCGTTGCAGGTGGATTTGGAGGGTGGAGCAGCTCAGGGAAATGCAGTGGCTGGTTAAAGGGTAACTCCAGCTCTGCCGGGTCAGGATGAACTCGTCTGTGGGGAGGAGAAGCATGCGAGGCTGGGAGCAGTTCCTTCTCCTGGCACTGGGACAGGGCAAAGCTGCATTTTGGTGGCTGCCCTGTGTTCACTTGCTTTATTTCTACCCATGGGCTCAATGCCTGTCCAGCACCCTGAGCCAGAGAGGCTGACCTCACCCCGTGCCCAGCAGCGAGCTTTCTTCCTCATCATCCTACTCCTTCTCACCTCCAGGGGATGGTTGCTTTGTAGGGGGGTGCTCCTGCCTGCGTTGGGGCTCCCCTTCTCCCAGAGCACTGCTGGACCATGGAGCTCCTCTGTGCATCCCGCGCTCCGCAGCCAGGAAAGGCTCCCTCCCTCCTCTTCCTCAGCCCCAGTTCACGTTGTTCCACGTCAGCCTCGCTGGCCGCCGTCCCCGGGGCTGCTTGGGGTGTCCAACCGCTGCACATCAGTGTGCTGGACCCTGACCTCGCGCGAGGCCAAGCGCGCTGGCCCCCGGCCACGGAACCACTTTGTGCTTGATAATTTAAAGCCCCACTGGAACCACAGTGATGGCTTAAAGCAAACCAGATGCTCACCCCTGCTTTGCTGGGCTGTGGGCAGCAGGCTCAGCAGGGCGAGGACCTGGCCCCTGCAGGTAAAGTGGAAGGGTAAAGTCAAGTTTCCACAGTGTTCATCAGTGCCTCCAGCCTCCTGCTTTGTTCAGGGTCTTCCTGCATGTGCTCGGACATCAACCGTTTGTTTTCTCATTAACACCTGAGCAATGAAAGCTGCTCTCTGCATTCCTGGTGTCCTCCCCGCTGCTCGGTGTGGCAGCGAGTGCCCTCACATCCTTGCTGCTCTAATAGCAGAGGGAGCCTCCATTGGCCCCATCCCACCGCGGTGATGCTGGTTCTTAGTGGAAGCGTGTCCTGGCCCCAGCAGTGTCCAGGTGATTCATGTCCACCCTGTCAGAATCCTTTTATTTTCAGCAGTTTTTGACTGAAGAATGTTAGTCTGGAGCATGAGTTTAATAGAAACAACACTGCGTTCTTGCAGAGCGCGTAATCCTGGGCTTAGAGATGCTGAAGCTGCCGTGAGATCATTAACTAATTAAGACTTGCAGCCTGGCAGGTCACTGCCTCTAATGCTGCCCGGTGGAGCAGTAACATTGGGGAAGCAGTGAGTGAGCACTGCCAGCAGAGCTGGTGAGGGTGGGAGGCTCCTGTGCCGTTTACTTCGGCACTGGAAATAGGCCACTCGGAGCAGGAGCTTCCTTGGAGACCCCCAGCCATGACCACGGAGGATTTCTGTTATTTAAAGTGCTTTGCTCTGTGGGCTGTGGGTTGGTCGGGCTCAGCCCACAGTGGTCTTTGCTCCCAGGCGCATTGAACATGTTTGTTTCTCCCTGTTCCCTACCCAAAGTAATAGTAATAGAAATCAAACCCGCCTACAAGGGGCACTGGGGCTGGGCTGAGTCCCTGCGAGTGTCCGGTGGTCTGGGATGTGGTGCTGCCTCTGCTCCACCATGAGCGTCTGCTGCTGCTTGCCCACAGCAGTGCTGGGGTCCCAGGGTCCCAATCCATCAACGCAGAGGCCAAATTCCTCTCTGACGAGCTATTGAAAGGAATTTTCCCTTCCTTCAGCGAGCGGCTGGGCCGGGGGAAGAGGCTGGATCGTGCAAAGGGTTGTATGTCTCTTTTGCCAACCCTCTGCAGCACAGCATGTTCATCTCCAGCACTGCTTTGGCTGTTTGGTTTGCCTGGGGGGTAGTTTGAGTGTCCCTTGGGGATTGGAAGGGACAGCATGGGCCCCACTTTGTCAGTCTGCATCATCACTCCCATCCCAGGGACAGACAGAGCTGGACGGGATGCTCCCTCCTGGGATGGCGTCATGGGTGCATT